TGTGTATTTTATAAACTAGTGTATGATGTCTTTTGGATAAAATCCAAGAAGTAATTATAGAGGAAACTACAGAATTAGAAGTTTGCAATAATTAATTAAAGCTATATGGCTTGTAGGCACAATCACACTACCCACAGCTTCTAAAGTTCTCATGAGAAAAAAAAATATTTTAACTTAGAGTGGAATAAAAGTTCTCTTTTATTTAATCTTAGAACTTTAGGACTTTCTATCTCTTTAATAACTTTTTTTTTCCAACACAGCATGTAATTAAAGTAATTAATAAAATTACAGAACCTTAGAGTGAGAAGGAAGAAAGAGTAAAAAGTTTCTGGTGCAGGTCATTCACTTGAAAATGGGGTGACTGATATTCCCAAGGTGACTCCCTGACAGTCCTTTACCCCTCAGGACTCTAGGTGCTTGTGCTGTGTGTTGTATTCTGCTGAGACAGTTCTTGGAGAATCCCTGTCTCTTCTGGTCCCTGGATCCTGAATGTTGAAATACGGATTCCTCTTCTCATTCTCTCCATCCTTTCTAGTTATTAATAAATAGTCTCACCTCTACTTTTTGATTGCTTTGAACAATTCCTTATCTTACTATGGAGGCCATCACAAGAGAGTTTTCAACTCTTAGCCTTTATCAACTGTTCCATTCTTTTCTGCAGCTACATTCAATTTCACATCTACTCTGAGAATAAGCAGATTTGAAATGGAAAGGCATTATCAATACTACAACTGTAGGGGCTGGAGAGATAACTCAGCAGTTAAGAATACTGACTGGCTGCTCTTGCAGAGGACCTGGGTTTGATTCCCAGAATCCACATGGCGGTTAACAACTATCCATAAATTCAGTTCCAGGGGATTTGATGCCCTCTTCTGACTTCCATGGGCATTGCATGACAAACATGCTCTTATATACATGCAGGCATATACTCATACACATAAAATAAAAATATAATTAATATTACAACTGTAGATACCACTTGTTTGAAAGGATGTGAATTTCTTCATTATACCGATTGTTGTCAAGAGCTTATTTCCAGTAATATTAAATACATGCTTATTATAATACCTATTTCCTTATTTTAACTTGAAATTTTGAGAATAGCTAATTGAAGTAAAACAAGAAGGAACTTTGAGAAAAAACAGTAAAGTAACTTTAAAGTAGAAACAAGATTCTTGGAGTTAATCATTGAGTAAAGTTTTTCAGAATGGTTTGATTTTTCTGTGAGAAAGCATGCCAAAGAATTTATTTTAAAGAAGAAAAACATGCAGCCACCTACTTCGTCATTGCTTGTCACGTTTCCACATCCAACTGTGCCTGGCTTTCTAGTCCCATCTGGACAGATGGCAGTAATGTTAAAATGGACCCCATGTACCTGGTTTTCCACCTGCACTTTTACTTCTGAAATGAGTTTCTGCAGAGACATCAGTTTTTAATTACACACTGCAGTAGTTTCAAATGTAAGCAACAAAATAGATTAGTACTTGTTAAATCATCGTAGATTTAAATTTTAACTAAACCAAAGTCTCTATAAAAGAACAAATAAAGTAGTGCCTCTGCATAAGGACCCAATTATATCTGAAATATGTAAGAAATACTGAAGGATTAGATTATCAGCATTTAAAAGGCTCCATTTTCCCATATGTCTATGACTACACATTTTGATCACTTCATAAATATTTCTTTTTAGCTTGTGCTGCAAAAATCTTTCAAAATCCATATTGCTAGTATTTAATGACAAACTTTAAAGGAAACATATCATGATGATATGAGAATACATATCATCATGTTAAGTGAATTTTGACAGCTTACAACAGGGAACATGGTTCTGATAAAAACAGCTGCTAACAAAACATTGTAATTTCAAACATTTGTAACTGTTATGAAAGCTAATATCTTATAGATACAGAGTTGAAAGGTACAGCTTGCAGAGGCCATTTCTAAGTCATAGCTATATACAGAAGTTACTTGCCAGCTGTGGTTCTACAAGGTTCTGTAGGAATAGCTTAGGGATTTTAAGTCCCCAGGCTTGCCAGTTTTGTTTTGAGACTTCATTCTAAAGCAGGGCTTCTAACTGGCCAGAAAGAGTTCATGAATTTAAACATTCATTCGTAGGGCTATTCAGTAAACATCTACTAGATGCTATCATGCACTGGACACACAGAATTCTTCCATCACAATCTTTGAGTTCCTAAGGATCTAGGTACTTTAAATATATCCTCTAGAACTATGTGTACTTGATCACAAAACTGAGTCTACTACATGCAACAGTCCTGAAATTATACTTGTAAACAAAAAGAAGGGAAACATGAAGCGTGTAATTAAGGAAGGAGAGTGGTAGCTCACAGGAAGAAATTCCAGTGGCTTCTGATTCTCTGAGAGTAATTTTACTTTTTCAACAGTATCGTTGGTAAGACAGGTGCTTTCTGAGAACTTGATCATGGAATTTGGTAGCATGTTCTCAAAAGAAGATAATTTCCTCAAATTTATATGAATAAGAAATACTATTTCAACCACATACACGTGTATATGTTGTTTCTCCCCAGGAGTTCACATGTGGCAATGTTGAATGATTTCGGCAAGCTAACAGAAACTTCCATTGGCATACAAATAGTGTTGATGTGCAATGATTTGTCAGACGAAGTACATCCCTCATACAGTGAATAAGCTCGGTATGTTCTGGCTGTCCCTCTAAGACTAAGCCAGTTCAGCCAATGTTCTTCAAGCAGTGTGTGAAGACAAATTTCTGCAATGTTCTCCATCTTTTGGATTTAGAAATTAAATTTATTAAGGAATTTGAACTTCCCCTTTAATATCTAACAGGTATTGAGACAGACTATTATTTTCCTGATATATAATTCTCCAGTGAATTGTGAATTGTTTCTATTGGGCTATGAAGACAAAATAAAATTTCCAAAAGATTTTTGAAAATGGAGGCACATAAGTAATAATAGAATCCTGTGGAGATTAGCTAACCAGAGTAAGTGTTTGTTGAATTTATTTTTCCACTGCAAGGTTAGTCCGAACCACAGTGGGCTGAGGGATATCATCTCTGTTAGAGGCAAATAAAGAATATAAGACCAAACTCTGCTGTCTCCTTTTGTTTCTTGTTCAACATAGTTCTCACTCTCAGCTTGCTCTCTATTTCATGAGTCTGACACACACATAAAAGCTTGCCAGTTTAAGCTCCACGTGGTAGCATGTGCTTCATGTCCTAGCACCTAGGAAGAGGCTGAGGCAGTATGGGTAGAAGTTCAAGGCCAGCCTGGGCTACACAGTGAGACTTTGTCTCAGCTAAAGAAACAGAAAAAAAGTCAACTTGTATACTTTGCTTGGGGTAATAAATGGAGGCATACTGTAATAATTCAAATGGCTAATGTTTTAAATGTTCTTATTGAATGAAGCTTACAAGCAAACTACTGATGGGCAAAAATTGTGTATGTGTTTGGCATTTATCGATAAAAATAATTTCATGGTACACACGGGCATCACTAAATGGATTCAGTGCATTATACATATGCACATATATGTACATGTAAATATATGTACCTATATACAATAATAAAAATCAAGGAAGGGGACAAGGGGTTGAGAATGGGGACATTGTAGAAGGAGGGATGGAAATTATGTAAATATAGTACCTGTGCATGAAACTCTCAATAAATTACAAAAACATACTAGAAAAAAATAAAGATTTAAAAAAATCCCATGGTTATAATGCTTTTGTAGTAGTAAGAAAGAAGATGTAATTTAAGATATTCTTTGTTATTTATATGAAGTTTTTAGGCATAGGAAAAGTTCTTGCAAAAACAAATCTTGCAAGATCTATTTTCTTTTAAGAAGAGTAAGTTTAAAGAACGTTTTCAGTTTATACCCTATGTCTGTGTCTTGCCTTTCCTTTTTGAACACAAGTTAAAGGCAGGTGCTGTCTGAAGACAATTAGAGAGGCAGCCTGAGGTTTTCCATAGCACTTTGGCACTCTCGACATTATTTAATTCTACATGTTAGGTCAGTAGTCAGAATTTGGAGAAGAGAGTTGTTATAACTGGCCCATACATTCAAGGAAGAATAAAACAGCTTTTGATACCATGTAAAAAAAATCAAAGAAAGATAAACAGGTGACCTCACATGTCAGGGAGCAGCTGGGGCATGAAGCAGCATCTGGAGTTTCATCCTGATGACTCTGCTTATTGGCTGTGTGATCTGTGGTTAATGTGTTTACTTCTTTGTTGCTACTAATACACAGTGGGACTACTAGTAGCTGCCTTATAGATCAGGTGTAAGGATTCAATGAAGTCATATATAGACAGTGACTTGCTTCAAAGCAACACTCATTATTATGACTGCATTTTAATAGAACTTATTACATTCAGGTATGACTCATTACTTCATACATATACTCTTTATAGGACTGGTGACAACATACAACCATCAATCCAATAGGCTATCTATTAAGGTCATTCTTTTCATCCAACTGCTAATTGACTAACACTCAAATGGCTTATCACAGAGGCCCCAACAGAGTCTTTCTAGTAATCTCTAGATCCTCGACAGTTCATCTCCCCCTGCAAATTGTTGCTTTAAGCAACAGCATGAATTATTTTGCTTTATGATATAGGAAACTATGCAACCTCTTGGTAATCAGGTGCATCGTACAGCCATGAACTGGTAGCTCACTGAGCAGTCAATTCAGAAGGAAATTTGGACAAACTCTGGTTGAATCTTACTTCACCTGTTTCCAGGACAAGTGAGACACAGAGAGCAGAAGTGACTCTCTCAAACATGCTAACTAGTTTGTGGTGCAGCCAGGGCTAAACCTAGGCTCTGAATTCCCAGTCTCACATTCTTCCTGTCACTCTCTTCAAGATGCAAGAACTCTACTTTATAGCTTACCACAAAAATGTGAGTGAAAGTTTATAATGTATATATTACACACATACACATACCTTATAGGCTTCCACTACTAGGTTATTGAGGTTCGCAGCTTTGGATTCTATTTCACCAGCAATGGTGCCAGGCAAAAGGGGTAGAAGGTCCTAAAAAACACATTAGTCACCTGTACATAAGGACAGTCATATGCAAACATTGAGTAATCAAGACATGGAACATTCTGTAGCTATCAGTGGAAGGTAAGCCATATATGAATAAAAATTATGATAGAAAATACAAGCAATGTAATAGAGCTGCTGACCCATAGATCCCTGAAATAGCATGTGCATATGTGTGCATGTGTGTGCGTGTGTGTGCGTGTGTGTGTGTGTGTGTGTGTACATTATGAAGTACATGAAAAGGGTTCTGAGGGCATAGAAGTGTGAAGTTCCACAAACTGTTTCTTCCACTTAGAGATTCAAAATGCACATTTGCAGTGTAAAAGAATCAGAATGGCCCTGAAATTTGCAAATAATTTAACACTATTTAAGGAGCTTTCATTTTTCTTTGTTATTACAAACACACACTGAACCATCAAATGCCTGGTTGGAGAGGCCCCAACAGAGCCCTTCTCGTCATCTCTATATTCCAGATGGTTCATTTTCCCCCACAGATTGTTGCTTTAAGTAACATGTTTCCATGTAATATAAATATTTTATATAAATACTGTTCTGTGGAATGACCTTTGGGATAGGCTGCCCTGGATGGAAGGAAAAGGTCACAGTTACAGGTGTGAGTTTCATGGAGTAGGTGTTCCTGGTGGAGAATGTTTACTAATGATGAGGAAGACTAGGCATTCCTCTAGAGACCATGAGAATGAGCAAAGCTTTCAAAGTCTTCCTCAGTGGAAGCCTGTCTGGCTAAAATGAGGGATGAAGAGTCTGTAGTTACAATAAAGAGGCCAGACTATGAAAGCCCTGAAGTTCACTTATTCACTCATTTCTCTGTTCACAATCATAACAAGTTTCTGTTCTAAGTCAGCCATGCTCAGATATGACTAATTTGGCATCTCAACTCAGGGAAAAACATTATCACTTACGGATTTTTAAAATTCATTTCTCTAACTCTTATTGAAGATCTGATCTATCAAATGCTGGTTTTGAAATGCTAAATTGCTAGTCCACATAGTTTTGATCCTTAAGGAGCAATTTCACAAAGTACTGTCCACATGACACAAGCAGATAGGCCCAGGTGCTGTGAGGAGGGATACCTGGCAAAACAGTTCAGCCCTGGAGATTGTTATCAGGGACATTTTCCCCTCAGAAAGTGACTTTTGAGTTTTATCTTAAAAGATGAGCTATAGCTAATCAAGTAATGAGAAAGAATGGTTTCTGGATATGGGGTCGGGGCAGCAAGAACAAAGACACCCAGGACAGGAACAGCTTGATGAATGTGTGTGCATCACACAGAAGAAGGAGAAGCAAGGCTGGAAGAAAACAGCAGGAGAATGAGGTAGGAGCCTGATGGGCACCTGGTCTCCTGGACCATATGAATGACAAGACAGCACTAAACGGAGAGTGCCTATGGACCAGTCTGTTTTGTGGAGTATTATGGATATGTTTTTGTAATTTCAATAGATCATCTTGGTAGCCAGGTGGAGAATGGACCTGGGAGAAAGGTTTCAAAACTGTTTCAACCCAGACAAAAGATGGTGGATACAAAAAGATCCCTGGGAGTCAGAGTAGGTGATGGTAAGGGCAGACATGGGCCTCTTAGCAGTTTATCAAGCTGGGGAGTCCCGTGCTTTTACTTTGCACACACCCGTAAATAAATAATAAATAAATAAATAAGTAAATAAATAAAAGATTTCACGCTTTGTCTGTCAATGGCAAATTTGCAAAGGGAAGAGAAAAACTCCTGGAGTCAAAAACACATGAAGAAATAATCAGCAGCAGAGAAAGAGGAAGCAAAAGGCATGAAAAGCTGCATAGAATTTGAAGGCCAACTATTAATCTTAAAGGTTAAGAGCCCAGGATTTGGGTTATTAGAGAACCAGGCAAGTTTTTAACCTCTCTAAATGTTTGCTCATCTTAAATATGAGCATGTTCGTGATACTGCCCTTGCTTTGAGTGCTAAGTGGATCAGAAATATTAGCATTTCTAAACTCAGTGTTTGAAAGCAGTAAGGTGCTCAGTAAGTGGAAACCGGTCCTGTCGTTATCATAGTGGTTTGCACTATTCAGTCTGGGTTCCCGCCGACTTTTGTGAATGCTGATTTTTTATGTTTATGGCATGTATATACATTTGGCAAATCGGGGAATTAAAGTATTATAGATTTCTAAGGGAGTAGGTGATATGATTAAAGTAGCTCTTTCAGATGATAAACATGGTAGTTAGGTGTACAGTAAACTGGTAAGGGAAATACCAGCTTTGTGGTAGATGGAAACAAGTTCAAGTACTCCTTGATCAAAAGAAAACACAGCACATTGGAGGATTTAACATGCACAAGACCTGCTCTAGCTCAAGCTGGACAAAATTCCGGCAAGGAGGGGGAGGTAGGCATGAAATTCCTCCCTTAGCTAAGGAACTATAGGTAGCTCCTGGGATAGCTGCTGGGAGAAGAAGAGTTGCTTTTTTTTAAGGGTGGGGCCCCTGATGGGTTGACTACACTCCATGGCAGGTTCCACACTCAAGAATATTTAGGCAACACAAATTGGCTCAATGGGGGAAATACAAGTTGGGTGGGTAGGGAGGTGGGGGTGGATCTGGAAGGAGGTGCATGATGTTTTCAAAGAATTAATTAAAATATTTAAAAAATAAATAACAGTATACAGGGAGACCCTGTCTCAAAAAGACCAAAAATAAATAATAAATAAATAAATATTAATAAATAAATAATAAATAGATAATAAATAAATAAATAAATGTAAAAGAGACTGGTCACTGGGAGAGGATTAGAAGGAAGAAGAGAAGACTGCGGAGGATGAGTGAAAAGTGATTAGTTGACAGTCAAGGCATCACTGTAACTTGCAAACAGGAACGAAGTGTCTTGGTAAAAAGACCCTCAAAGACAGAGAAAGAGCAACAGCAGACACAGAACAATTCTCTGTAGGGGCTGCAAGCTCTCCAGACCCGCACAGCTGCACAGTGTCTGCTCCCCTGTCAGTTCACCTACCACAAAGGGACCTGCACAGCACCAAGGTTATTGTTATGTACAAGGCATTGGTTGGCTTAGCCATTTTTCATGGCTCCTTTTGGTCCTTTTCTTGCTAATCTAGACCTAAGTTAGGTGTGTTGATGCTATTGAAAATTCAGCTGATAATTCTCTAACTTTAACCTAGTATAAGGCTAAGCCCAGGGACCATAGTGTTAAGCAAGGCATCTGGACATGAGATGGAGGATGAAATACCTTTCACTTGATGAAAATCTTTCTCATTACTGTGCCATTCATTGTAGGTGGCAGGCTATGGCCACATGTACTGAATGCAGTTCTCAAACAGCTTCTAGTGTCCACATTTGGCTTGAGGTGTCACAGACAGAATGTACTATAAAATACTGACTTAAGACATTATAAAGTATTCTTCACTTGATATATTATTAGACTGTACAATGCATAAGAATTCCAGAATTCTATCTCTGCTTCTACAAAGTGTCTTCTCTTCGCCCAGCAATACAAGCTTCTAATTTTGATGATGCAGGAAGGAACATACCTTGTACCAGTGAAACTGCTTGCCTTGAACTGCAAAAATGACATTGATGTTGTTGTCTATTAGCTTTTCTGAAAGTTGGCCTAGTGAGGGATGCTCCTGTAAAGGACAAGGGAATGAAGACAAAAGAAGTTCAGCATCTCAGACTCACACATATCCAAACATCCAGTATGAAGAAATCCACCTGAGTTAGAATAGCAATGTGTCTACTTGGTTACTCCTTTCCTAGAAGCAATTAAATTCTTTTCAAACGGAACGCTAACATCAATGAATTAAGGACATCTTGTAAGGAAAAACTCCATAAAAATCTACAGCTTAGAAAAACAAAGAGGACTAAATTTACATAATCCAAAGAGTGGTCAGGACCTCTTTAGATGAATATTGGCCAGAAATTGATTATAAGTGATGATATTCAGAAGTAGAGACACTTTAGTGACAATCGCTGCTTGAGGCAAAATTCAGTAGTGGGTGTTGAAGTGCAATCAAATATATATTTGGGTATATATACCTATTAATATCTGTATATAAATATCTATGGCCCCCATGTGTGTTTGTGTATATATGGTAGAGTTCTCGTCTATGGTGCACAAGGCCCTGGCTTCAATTCTCAGCAATTCACTTTCTCTACTCCATCTCACTGATGACTGCAGAAATTGCTATTTAATGTATATAGGTAGGCATTATACTGATATTCTTTCTGTAAATATTCTTCTAGGAATTAAATTCATTATCTCAAATAACTTGTTCATAATTAGACACCTTTCAAAGAAATGATGCCAAACTCCACTTGCAGTAGCCTCTGCCTATTCCTTTGTGCCTAAGTGTACGAATCAAAGGTCATGTGACCAAATCACCTAGCATCATGAGATTAAAGTTAAAATTACTTCACAGCTTTTGTTCCTGCTCCCCAATGCTACTCTGACTTGGTTAACATCTCTGTAATTTGGAAACTATGGGAACTTAGTAATAAACAAAAATTAATTGCCTTATACCCTGTGTTCAATGGTCCACATTTTAAATTCACATAGCCTTGTTTTTTTAAAAAAAATACTACCAGGGCTGGGGGTATAGTCAAAGCTAGGGCATGTGCTTAGCATGCACAAGGCCCTGGGCTCAATCCGCAGGAGACTTTACAGCAAATGCTCTTCTGTTTCCATATTGTCTAGATTTGTGTTTATGAGTTGCATTTAGATGTGATATGAAACCAACTCATGATAAGGCTTGAAAAGCTTTACCACATGGGTTTACATAAGACAATTCAGCCCAAAGCAATTCTTAGGAATGTAATTTTAAAGTAATATAACAAAAATTCCCAAATATAAATCCTGCCAGCCAAATTCTTATTCCTGTTCCCAATAAAATGTATAATCTTAAAATAGATTTGTGACAGTTCATATTAGGGGGGATAAATAGAAGCAAGATAAGTCTAGCTATATTGGGAATATAATCTTAATAACAACAATTATTTTTCACATATTTTTGCTTTGACAAAAATACTTTGCTGAACACTCACTCCTTACTTTTAAAACTATTCATTTAAAATAAGAAAAAATTTAATCTATGTGTTAACTGGCTTGTTCTTACGTCACATAAAATCAATATTTAAAGAACAGTTAAAATGTAAACAACTTTTGGAGACTACTTAATTTTTTTCCTCTTCCCCAAACAGGAAGTCGTTGACCAAAAATACACAAAATTTAGGCCTAGAATGTTCATTCTCATTTGTCAGACGCTCATTAGAAAGGTTAGTCAGACCTTCAAGAACATTTTTTTTCAACTCCAGAGAAAAATTCTTTTTAAAAGAAAATCTCAAATACCTTGAGGCAGATTTTTTAAAATTACAAATGTATAACAGATGTTTAAACAAACCACTGTTGACAAGAGACTGTGGACAAATGGTTATTTCTGAAGCCTCTTCACCTCTCCTCCATAAGGCACATTATCTCTTATGCATTTTATCTTTTATGCCTTTTTTCTGCTAGCAGGGGAACATACTCCCTCTCAGCCAGCTGTCCTGTTCTGGTGATGTCCTGACTTCTCAAGTCTAGCACATCCCTCTACCCCCACTTAACTTCTTCTGTAACTTAACTTATTGCTTCTGTAAACTCTGAAAATAATTAATGGAGATAATGGCATCTCAGAGGTAAAAGGGAGAAGGAAAAGCAGTATGTCAGGAGCACCACTAAGTACTGAAGGCCGTGGGAAGCAGTTTAGAAATGTTGGGAGGGAAGAAAGGCTGACTAGGAACAACTTCAGTCAGAGCGATTACTGTGCTGAGAAGTATGGCCGAATCCTAATCATTTGTGTATGTCTAAAACCAAAGTACCGAAGACTCTCTTCACTGTAAGTTAAATTAATTTTAAAAGTAAGTTTATTTAGAATTTGTAGTATTAAATGTCGTAATAAGATATTTTAAAATTGCCAACAACCTGAGCTTACTTCGTAGAAGAAAGAGACAGGCAAAATGGAAGCATTCTGGCAGCGGGGATTTATTTGGACATGAAAACTTTAAAATATGTAGCCGGGTGTGACGGTGCACGCCTTTAATTCCACCACTCGGGAGGCAGAGGCGTGCAGATCTCTGTGAGTTCGAGGCCAGCCTGGTCTACATAGTGAGTTCCAGGACAGCTGGGGCTACAGGGTCACCCTGTCTCAAAAAAACAAAAAAGAAAAAAAAAGTGTTGTGAGTTCACATCTGTCCTGACAGCCTGGCTTCTAAGTAACTGTGAAGAGCAGGTTGTGCAACAGCCATACTGTGAACATTTGGGACTGTGTCCTGTGTGTGTCCGGGTTGGGGTGTTCTGTGCCACACAGTAGCAACTCTGACTACTCACTAAAGGGTAGCATCCCTTTCCCCAGCTGTGATAAAGTGTCTCTGGCATGGAAATGTCCTCTTAAAGGTGAAATCTCCTGAAGAGAATCAAGAGCAGGTGCTCTGGAAACAGAAATGATGCTGGTGCTACATCTCCCAGCTCTACAGCTGCTAGCTCTATCCACTGTTTAGATCTTAAATGTCTCCCAGTGGTCCACGTGTTGGAGGCCTGGTCTCCAGCCTGTGAGGCTAGGGGGAAGTGGTGCAACCTTTGTCTAGTAGGGCCTAGTGGAAGTCTTCAGGCCATTGGGGGCATGTCCTGGGAGGAGATTGTGGAACCCGGGTCCCTTCTTTCTCTCTTTTGCTCCCTGGCCATGAAGTGAACAGTTTTGCCACCATAGATCCAAAGCAATAGGGACAAGTTGTCATGGACTACAACCTCCAACACTGTGCGTCAGAAGTAACCCTTCCTCTTCACAAGTTGATTGTCTCAGGCAGTTGTTATGGAGAAGAGAAGCTGACTAGCTCACTAAGTGCGCGGGAAGCAGTTTGTGGGAAACAGTTTCAATCTTTCTGTGGTCCTGTTTGTACATGATTACCACAGGTAGACAGACATGCCAATTTCTACTCCAAGAATTACGGTGGTTCCCTCTTGATAAATGAGCTAATGAATACAGTTTTCCCCTAGGATTTAATAAATCAGTAAGCTCAGATCCAGGGTGAGAAGGGGCTCTGGCACTGTTGTCCCACAGCATGGCATCAACTTCAGGCTCTGCTACGGAGCACAGTGGGATTGTGCTCTGCCACTACTGCTGCCTCAGTACTTCTGCTTTTTCATTTACCAACAGTAGCAAAGCAGCACTTTCACCTCTGGGCTGTGGGGTGGTGTTGCCGAAAAGTAAATGGCACACATCTCAGGACCGCTGAGTAGAAGACAGTTTTTAATAAGAGACTGCTTAAAAAAACAGACACTTGGGGACCACCACTAAACATGGTAGGAATGTTCTTGGATGTACTTTGCTGGAGCCGCCTCATACATTAATTCTGTGTTACTTGTCCCTAGAGTGCTGGAATTTGTGCCCAAAATGGTTTTGACTGTAATTCTGAAACTCCACTTACAGAAGACAGGCATAGGTTTTTAAAGCAAGCTTTTCAATAAAAATGGAAAGAAAACAAAATCTGCTTATGATTTAACCAAAATCTGTAATTTAATCAGAATACTCTAGTCCATAAGCTTGTAAATGGAATTTAAATGTTTTTAAGCTACCTTTCCCGTCCTTCATTGAATCCCATTCTAGGGGCACTATAGAAGCAGAGCCAGGCCCCCGGGAGCCTGAGGTAGGTGATTTCTGCATGCAAGTTTTGTTTTCAATTAAAAGTCAATTTAGTTAGGTATTATTTGAAGAGATCATTTCCTGGCTACTTTTCTGAAAAACTTAGAGGCATTCAAATTAGTCTTCATAAAATAACTGTAGGAAAATTCTCAGCATATTTATAATTTAAACAAATTGTTCAGTCAGCTGATATCAGGTATTTTGCTAGTTTTAAAAACTCATAAGTTGACATAAATCTCATAAGTTGACAATATTTGTCAAAAAGCTGCATATAAACTTCAAACTTTCTAGAAGTGTTTGAGTGATAAATGAGTTATTCTTTTTATTCCTGTGTCCAGGACACAGATGCTGAGAGGCAAAATGATAGAACTCTTTCTAAAGTTGAAAAGCCTATTTCTTCATTAAGAGCAAAAAAAGAATTTCTTTACTGAAGGATTATGTCTTTCATTAAATGACATTATCTGAATCAATATGAGTTATAAATGCCTTCTAGGACTCCTATATTAATCTACACCCACCCCAGGGCTCAGGGACCATTGTGGAAGAGGAGGTGGAAAGATTATAAGAGTCAGGGAGGAGGCGTATGACCATGTGGAAATAGAGTCCGACAAGCTCCTGGGACCCTGCTCATATGAACCTACAACAGAGGTGTCAGCATGCACAGGACCCAGGCAAACTCAGACAAAAACCCAGCATGGAACTGGGGAAATGGACAGCTGACCCCAGTCTTAGCTGAAGAAATATTGGCAACTGATTACTGCTAGGTGAGGACAAGCTGATCTTCCTAAAACAAGAGACCTCTAGATAGGCTGACTAGACCTCAGTAGATGAACTTGCACTGAGGGACATCTGGGGACACCAATATGACACAATAGGCCTTAAGACAAATGACAGAATGCATGAATTCCAGTGGGAGGTGGCTATGGGAGGGTGCCAATGGGGAAGGGGGTATAAAGAAGGTTAAGATGGGGCTGGCTCAGAGGTTAAGAGCACTGACTGCTCTGACAGAGGACCTGGGTTTGATTCCCAGCACCCACATGGCAGCTACAAACTGTCCTTAACTCTAGTTCCAGGGAAATCTGAAGCTCTCTTCTGACCTCCGTGGCATTGCATGACATGGGTGCATTCACATATATGCGGACAATACACTCATACACATTAAAAAATATAGAATTTTTTAAAAAGAAAAATAAAATTCAATAAAATGTCAAAGATTCTACAATTTGTCAGCGTCAGGAACAAGGGATGGTTCCTGCAATCCAGAA